ACTTACCCATCTCTAGTCTTCTACCATTTTTTGTACTTTCGGCCAAATCGGCGTTTATTAATTAATTGTTTCAAGCTTATCACAACTTTTCTGAACGTGTGCCATGGAGCTTAACTTAGTATCAAGTGACGTAGGTATCATACGGTGCCCTCTCGAACCACAATCGCCTTGTATATATCTTACTTATCTTAATATATCATACTAACTGTATCACGTATTTTTATATATAGTGATGTGCAAGAACTTGTGATCTCTCTTCGCACTTTGCGCGTGTTTATCTGGTCAGATTGTTAAGTTCAAGGAGCAAGTTGAGGGCCTGGTAATCTATCACACAGGGATTACCCTAGTTTAGACACCAGTCTCTCGCAAAGGTTCTGTTATTGTAACATTCACAATATTGTAGTATCCATTATTCTTTGTTACCTTTGTGAAGAGAAAATAAACATTTATTTTATTATATTATTATTATTATATTTAATACTCACAGTACAATTACTGGGCGGCACGATAAGCTGCGTTATTTCTCCAGCATGCACGCAGAATCTGTGCAGTAGATTGCCAGTAAACAGGTCCCATAGGCAAACCGCGAAGTCTATGCCTCCGGAGACGAGGTGCGCCTTGTCGTATCTGAAAGAAAGAAGGAAAAACATATTTAAAATCACTATTACAGAAGCACTAGCGGCCGCCCGCGACTTCGTACGCGTGGAACCCGTTTTACCCCCTTAGAGATTCATCATTCATCATCATTTCAGCCATAAGACGTCCACTGCTGAACATATGCCTCCCCCAATGACTTCCACATCGCACGGTTGGTAGCGGCCTGCATCCAGCGCCTTCCTGCTACCTTTATCAGGTCGTCGGTCCACCTTGTGAGTGGACGTTCCACGCTGCGTTTTCCGGTACGCGGCCTCCATTCCAGAACCTTGCTGCCCCATCGGCCGTCAGTTCTGCATACTATGTGCCTTAGAGGTTGAATTTTGCAAAATCCCGTCTTAGTGAGCACCTACGTTCTAAAAGGAACCCCCATGCAAAGGACAATGTTCGTTCTCCATACATTGTTCGCCTAAAGAACCAGCAATTTTGACATATTACTACCCGAAAGCGAAATAATACGATTCTGTGTGTAAGAACAATGATTCCTGATGGACACTTGCCATAAAATTAATGATTAAGAATATTAAATCACAGCGATTTTATAATATGTCGTTTATGACAACATGGCGTCTAATGTATTGTGTGAATGTATGAACACCGATTCGCGAAAAATGTTTTGTATTGTCGTCACGCCGAGTCGCAGCCAAATAGTATAAAATAATAGAACAAGTTTTAGAAATACAACTCGGCATTCCACTTTTACAATATGCCCACATATTGCACGTAAATAAACAACATGAATCGTAGGTTGTTTCCACCCTTGTCATCTGACACATGAAATAAACTCCTATTGTATTATAGATATCGAAGCCGAATCGTATATAATAATAGAATGGGTTTTGGAGATCACTCGGGGTTCCACTTTTATAAAATACCTACATATTACATAAAAATACCACGAATCATGAGTTTTCTTTTCACCATTTACATCTGACACGAGATAACAAACTCCTATCTCCATGACTACCATCGTAGTCTATGCCAAAGACTACAATATTTTAAGCAAGAAGTTTCAAACCTTAGCGGCTACGGTAACCCCTGGGCCACATACATCATGATAACATTCGGTCGACACCGGAACGAAGTCTTGCGATTATGCAAAAAAGCATCGTATTCTAGTGCGGCTATATCACGTTCAACCGGGGTTTTAATTCGACTAAAGTCCTGACTAAAGACTGGAAGAAAATACGCCGCATTGTATGAGCACTTCGTGTTCGTTAAAGCGGCTTCAGATCTAGAGCCCACATAGTTTTCTTTCCAATAATATCCGCAAGTAGCGCTGCATGATCTTTACAACAAAAACGGCAATAGTTATTAAGGTGCCAAAATTATATGATTACTTTGGCACGGTATTATACACGTTCGAAGATTTGTCATTTTCATTCATTTCTTCATCATCATCATCATTTCAGCCACAGGACGTCCACTACTGAACATAGGCCTCCCCCAATGACTTCCACATCGCACGGTTGGTAGCGGCCTGCATCCAGCGCCTTCCCGCTACCTTTATCAGGTCGTCGGTCCACCTTGTGGTGGGTTGACATTGCAGAATATGACTTTTGATAGGTTCATCATAGAATTCGGCGGGGATATCCTCACGGAGGAAGTTCGTAAAAGGGCGGAACAAGATCTTATAATAATGCAAGGCCGAAGCTGTTACGCGCGTGCTCCTACGTGTAATCCGGCGAGTATGCAATAAATAGTAATGTCTGGTAAATAGTGGTAATACGTATCGTTCGTTCGTTCGTTTCAGCCGAAAAGACGTCCACTGCTGGACAAAGGCCTCCCCCAAGGATTTCCACGAAGACCGATCCTGCACCGCTCGCATACAGGCACCTCCCGCGACCTTCACCAGATCGTCGGTCCACCTAGTGGGAGGCCTGCCCACGCTACGTCTTTCGGCTCGTGGTCGCCACTCAAGAACTTTCCTGCCCCAGCGGCCATCAGCTCTACGAGCTATGTGCCCCGCCCCGTCTATGTCTGTATGCGCTACGATTACAGGGTATCATTTTGCATAGTCGCAAGACTTCACTCCGCTGCTGTCAAATCAATGTCGCATAATGTTATCGCAATGTGTGTGGCCCTTGGCCAAATCACAGAAGCCTATGCGAAGAAAGAGCACTTGAATGACAATAAAAATCAGGGTTACCATTTTATAAGATTTCCTCACTATTGAGGGTAACAAAGTAACATTAATAATCTAGCCATTAATTACATTTATTACCTATACGAGAAAGTAAAGCAACATGCGGTTTTATTTTAATTTGTAAAATATTAAACCCCTCATATTTGTAACAGTTTGTTCCAAGTTTAGTTTTACTGTTTTGTTAACAGTATTGCTGTTTCAGCTGTCACTGTGAAGCTTTGGGAAAATAAATAAATAGAAAAAATATTAACATAAATATTTATTTAAGTTTTTATGTTCATTATCATAATATGCCAATTTAAGTTACACTGTGTGACAGTCTTTGACACTAAACAAACTCTTCAGCTTAATAATACCTACCTACAGGGCGTTTTTATAGTTACTCTTGCTGATGAAACAAGAAGGGTTGATTCTACTACTGAAATACAACTACTTTTCTTACAGGACCAATATCAAATTCTCAAAAAAATTCACATCCTCGTGATGGTGATAATTTCTATGGAGAGGTTTTTTTTTTATTCGGTCTCTTGGGATAAGTTATTCCATTTGAGCAGTAGAATTAATCCTTTTTATTCGATCACATATAAAAACAACACAAGTGTTTAGGAAAACTTCTTCTTTGGTATGGTATCACTACGGAGTTATAATGTCGGCAACTCTGTATCACTGACTTGTAACTTTCAAACAGCATGAATAATAAGGGCACCACATTGGTTTTCTTTCTGAAAAAAGGCTTTCAGTTTTAGTACTAACCCTTTAGCACTATTTCATTGAAATAAAAATACAATAAACGCACAGAAGACTGAAATTGAGTCAACTGACGTGACATTTATAATTTGTTGACATTATGACAGTTTGACAAGACTAGGGATTGAAAAAGTTTTAATTGAAAAAGTAAAATGACAATTTATTAAAACGATTCACATGGATATAATCGATTAAAAATATTTATAAAATGTTCTGATACTTGCCTGTAGCGATTATCCAATCCTGGTTTCTACTGAAAAACTACCTCGTGGCAAGATTTTAATAAAATAATAAAATCTTTATCTTCTCTTTCACAATCTATAAAAGTTCATTTGGTCTATTATTATACATGTGCTATGAATGAGGGTTTTCGCGATTGAAAAATCCGCGAGATGGCAATACGTAGACGCGAGGTCCAAATGCTGCATGATTGGTGGATATCTGTCAATGTCATGTCAAAAATAACCAATCATGCAGCATTTGGACCTCACGTCTACGTATTGCCATCTGGCGGATTTTTCAATCGCGAAAACCCTCATTGGCATAGATTATGAGAGACTGGCAACTATACTAGGTTGATATCAGGTGATCCGTCTGCTCATTTGCCTCCTGTCACATAAAAAAAAAATATATATGTTTCTCACACTTCAACTGGCATTGGATTCAACATCGGATTCTGACACTTTTACAGTTATGATACCATGAATATCAGTTTATGGTCCTAATTATTTTTATTTTATTTACGACCTTCGACCAGTTGGACACTTTAGATATCTTCTTGTAATAGTGTCAAACTGTCAATATCTTTTTAGCTTTTAACGCAAATCTAGTCTTCAAAGCAGTTTAATCGATTTATTTTATTTTCAAAATCGATATTTTATTGTCTATGATGGCCGCAGGAACATCACTATACATGGACTCCCAGCAATAAAGTACGGTAATGCCTCGTACAGATTTTATCGGCAAAAATTATGGAACTTGATAGGTTTTAGACCATGCCACGCACCAAAACGTCCGGAAGTTGTAATAGTATTATAGAATAAACGTTAAAAGACTTATTTATTTAATTTTTCAATGCTTAAGTGTCCATTAGAATGAAAGGGTGCTTAATGTATTAAAAAAAATAGAAAATAATTATGATGGGTTAATGTTTTTGGGCGGTTTTTTAGGCGGTTTCTGACAATGTCCTTTGAAACTCCTAGCACTTGTAGTTTCTGAGATTTTGTGAGTCAGTGACCAAAATTTTCTGCTTGGTTTGATCGATTCGCCTGACTAGCTATCACGATCTTACATATCGAAGAAGAAGGTGGTCTCAGATCCCAACTGAGGCTATAGATTCATCATCATCATCTCAACCATAGGACGTCCACTGCTGAACATAGGCCTCCCCCAATGCTTTCCATGTTGCCCGGTTGGTAGCGGCCTGCGTCCAGCACCTCCCTGCTACCTTTACGATGTCGTCGGGCCACCTTGTGGGACCTATATTTAACAAATACTTTCATATTCTTACCTAGGGTGTATATGGTGGGGGTAGAGAAGGCAGTTCACCCTCCCATTGTGTCCTAAAAGTACTTGGTGTCGAGTCCAATCTGTGAACAAAACATTGTTGTTACTGTCATTAAAAAATTTTGTGCCATTTGTCATGTAACATTACATAATTTGATGACATTTGACATTTTGTCATCTGACATTGACATGAAATTATAACATTTGTCATTTTAACATTTCGTCCATTTGCGACGACAACGTGACATCGTCTGTGTTAATCTAATTGAAGATGTCACACTGTCGTCGCAAATGGACGATTTGTACTTTTGACTTTAAGTAATTACATTTTTCCATATTGAAGTTGCATTTTTCTTTAGTTTTTCTCATTTTTTTCACTCACTTTCTGATTCTAATTTAATTATCACAAGACTGTGACATTTATCTGACATTATGTCATTAGATACTTCGACATTAATTGACAAGGTGATATATGACATTGTGACATCAAGTCATTACACTATGACGTTTAACATTTTGTCTTATGACGTTTTAACACTGTTGTTTGTCATTTTTTACCCGACTGCACCAGAAAGAGGGTTATGTTTTGTACTCACTGTCGGACTCACCGTCATACTGCTGGTGCGTGCCGTGTAACAACTGCAGTTATATGCAGATATAACATTGTCATTTGACGTTACATCATTTGACATTACGTCATTTGACATTACGTCACTTGACATTATAGCATTTGACATGAGTTTTTTGACAAATCATTTGGCATATAGATGACCCCACTGAAGTGTCCCACCAAACTCAATAACAGGGGGGCGCTACCATCGTTCAACTATATGGTTTCCAACATGGCAAAAATCGGTCTAGCGATCCGGTATTGACGGTGGCGCCCCACTGTCAATGTCAAGGATAGGACAGTTCAGTATTTTGGAACTATAGTCATTTGAAGTTTGACATGATGTGTTTTGACAGCACGTCATTTGACAGCTTTAGAGGTTCATTTTTGTAATTTGACATCTTTTGTACTCACTGTCGGACTCACCGTCATACTGCTGGTGCGTGCCGTGCAACAACTGCAGTTGCACCGTGTGCGTTGCGTTCACTATCACTATGGAACCGTTGTCTCTACCGACTACTAGTCGGTTTGATATCATTGGCATCAATAGACCATTTTTTTTTACTATTTTAAGACTAGGCGCACACCCTGGATTTTTAGTTGGCCGATAGTTGTGCTCGATTTTAAATTGTATGAAGAATCGGCCAAATCGAATCGGCGTAGTGTGCGCACTCCCATACATGCCCATACTGATCAACTGCCCGACTAAACTATCGGCCGCCGAAAAATCAACGGCGTGCGCCTACTCTAAATCATTCATGCAGTGTATTTTCTTATTAATGTCATTTTGCCATTTGACAAATTACGTGAAGACGTTTTATGATATAGCATTGTCATTTGACTGTGTCATTTGACGTTACATCATTTGACATTACGTCATTTACATTACGTCATTTGACATTACGTCATTTGACATTACGTCATTTGACATTACGTCATTTGACATTACGTCATTTGACATTACGTCATTTGACATTACAACATTTGACATTACGTCACTTGACATTATAGCATTTGACGTGATGTTTTTGACAAATCATTTGGCATAGTCATTTGAAGTTTGACATGATGTGTTTTGACAGCATGTGACTTTACAACTTTAGAGGTTCTTTTTTGTAATTTGACATTTGTACTCACTGTCAGACTCACCGTCATACTGCTGGTGCGTGCCGTGCAACAACTGCAGTTGCACCGTGTGCGTTGCGTTTACTATCACTATAGAACCGTCGTCACGACCGACTACTAGTCGGTTGGCTGCTAGTAGGTATATCGATGCTGTTAGCTTCACTTCTGTGAAAGAAAGAGAGAAAGAATTTAAATATATAACTCAAAGGTGGCTGACTGACTGACATAGTGATCTATCAACGTACCCAAACCACTGCACGGATCGGGCTGAAAATTGGCATGCAGGTAGATGTTATGACGTAGGCATCCGCTAAGAAAGGATTTTACGAAACTCCACCCCTAAGGGGGTAAAACGGGATCCACGCGTAGGAAGTCGCGGGCGGCCGCTAGTTTTAAATAAACAACTTGAAAAAATCGAACTGCCTAAGGCATCTAATCGCTCAGAAATTGTAATAACGAAAGAGAAAGAAGTTAGTAAATTAACGCCCGTATTCACAAACATTACTATGAGGTCTCACAGTGCGCTATTTTGCACGTACCCGGGTCTTCCGGATGGTTCAATTGGTCCAAGATCCCGACGGGTTGCGGGTTCATTTCCGCCCAGGCCATCTCCAGACTCGTCATCACTATTGGTGGATGAGCTGAAACAAAATTACATAATTCTTAGATATTATACAACATTGGACCCAATAATGTATCTTGAAAGAGCCCGAATTCTGTATGTCGTGTCGACAACAAACCAACACAGTGCCAGCCCAAAACTTCGCTACAAGAGTGGCGTTGTCAGTAGCATTTATTATGCCTTAAGTTTTTTTTCCTTTTTTAAAGATTATTAGCAATTTGTATTGCACAAATTACTAATAGTCCCTAGCCCGTCGTGGTAAGCTAAATAAGCTTGTGTTACGAGTGGGCTCACCACAATAGTCGAGCGGCGGTGGGATTCGAACTAGAGATGGGTTTGTAGCCAGCTAGTTTGGATAATAACTGATTATTATCTATTAATAGCCATTATTAGCCATCCATTGGCTAGTAACCCTGCTATTAATAGTTTCTTACGTTTTTTCTTCCACCTTTAAAATCAAATCAATATTAAAATCAAATATTACTCAAAGAAACAAAAAAGAACTAAAAAACATCAATGTAATTTATATAAACGACATTGTAGTTAAAAAAGAATCTAAATATTATACAATAAAAGGAGAAACTGACTGACTTAGTGACAGATCAACACACAGCCTAAACGGCTAAACGTAGGCACTTGAAATTTGGAAGGGACGTAGCTTAAATACCGTAGAGGTGCACTAAGAAAGGAATTACCAAAATTCCCAAGGGAACGGGAATTAGCGGGAAAATCCTTTTGTATGAAAAATCTAAACCGCTTAAGTTAGACGCTTGAAATTTGGCATGTAGGTAAGGAATTATCTAACGGTAAGAATAGTCAAATTTAAGTACATCAAATATGTGCAGACTGAACTGACCACGCATCCTTGTCATCAATATAGTCTCGAACCTTGTAGTACCCTTTGGACATAAGGGTATTTTTTATATGTATCTTAAATTTGTTTATTGGCAATTCGACAAGGTTGTGTGGTATTTTGTTAAATATGGTAATACATTTCCCCAAGAATGAATTACCTATCTTATGCAACCTAAATGATGGAACAGCAAGTTTATTCTTATGTCTCGTGTTAAATGAGTGGACGTCACTTTTCTTAGTAAATAAATGTATATGTTTACGGACATACATAATGTTATCAAATATGTATTGCGAAGCCACAGTCAATATATTGATTTCTTTAAAAACTTCTCTAAGTGAGTCACGTGGTTTAAGACCGTATATTGCCCGAACAGCTCTTTTCTGTAAAATGAAAATTGATTCTATGTCTGCTGCTGAGCCCCACAGTAAAAGACCATAAGACATAATACTATGAAAATAACTAAAATATACAAGCCTTGCTGTTTCAACATCAGTCAAGTTTCTGATCTTTCTCACCGCAAAGGCAGCTGAACTAAGTCTTCCCGCCAAATTAATAAAGAATACACACCACTTAGTAAGAATACATTTCAATTTTTAAAAAAATGCACAAAATATAATTATACGATTTAGTAAAGACACTGTATTTAAGATTCGTTATGTCATAATATTTTTTATGAAGTCTCCAGTCGTTTCTTTAAAAACATTGTTTTGTTCAAACTTTTAACTGTTTTTGGACGTCAAAACAACCCTAAAAGCTTCAAAATAGTGGGAACTAAATTCCCACAGCCGTATAAAGGGTTAACTCACTCGGCATCTGGTCAGGCACGGCCGTAGCGGCCTGGTCGACGTCCCATACTGATACCACGCCGGCCGAGTCGCCTCGTAACAGACGACGGCGGCTCGTGCCTCCGGCGGAGGTGATTACGAAACGCATCGCTGGCGGGCATGATAGCAGCTGTGGGAAAGTAATTATAAGGAAATATTTGTTACGTATCTCTTTAACAGTCATAACATAATCAGGCCCCTCTTTCCCACTGGGCACTTTGGGCACGTGCCCAGGGCCCCGCGATCGAGGGGGCCCCCGTCTGCTCAAAATAACCTTTTCCAGATGATAAGGGCCCCCCTTGATCCTTAAGTGCCCAGGGCCCCTTGTAGGTTAAAGAGGGCCCTGAATATAATGAAATTTTTCATTGTTTTTGGATTTAAGGACAAACGAATAAGGTTCAAAATATGGTGGGAACTATATTCCCACTGCCTTATAAAGGATTAAAGGCCCTTTATGGCACTTATATGAGGCCCAAATATAGCTTGTTTCCAACAGTTCGGGATAACATATGAATTGGTACTGAGAAGTGGCGGAAGAAACCCAGTCAACATTTTAATTAGAACAATCAATAACTTTAGCAAGACAATATTAAACAAATTCCAAAATTACCTCTTCATTGGTGTGAGCCAGAATGCTGTATAGCACAGGGCTATCGTGGTCAACAGTCGGTCCATGGAAACCCTTATGATCAGGCACAGAACTGAAAAACAAACACGTGTCAAACGACCCAAGAATACACGCCACTTATCAGTAAATAAGTTAAGAATACAACCAAATTATACAATACAAATGATGGGTATATGGGTGTGCGATATGCAACTGAAAATAATTAAAAATATTATTGTACAAATGGCACACAAACACAGTACGATATTTTAATATAATTATTGTTTTTGTCTGTTATTAAATATAATTTATGTTTTTCTAAACTGTATTGAAACTAAATTATCTATCTAGTCTGCCTGCTATTTTAATTAACCTTGCAATTAATAATAATGAATTCTAGGCCTACCTTAAACACTAATTTTATTTTAATCCAATATTTCAAATAAGTGTGTGTAGTGTTTTTATATTATTTAAATACATCTGCATTACTTACAAAGCCTATCGCCACACAGTAAAATACACAAACAGCTTACAAATATTCATAATCAAAAGTAAACGCACTCAAATTCAAAATACGAAGCGTTCTAAAATGTGCAAAGCAAATAATAAATACGGGGTCTATTCTATAAATACAAGGGTTAAATTTACAGACAAACAAAGTGGTGCTGACCTACTTATAGCCCGTCCACGCAGTTTGCTATAACAGAAATGTTTTGTTTAGCTCAAGAAATGGCAGGAGGCTTTTTCGTAACTACAGGAGTTAGAATACATAATATTTATATCGGCAGTTATGTAGCATACATCAATGAATGAAGAATACATCCCACTTAGTAAGAATACATTTAAATTATGCATAAAATATAATTATACGATACAGTAAAGACACTGTATTTTAGATTCGTCATGTGTTATTATTAATTTTATAACAAGTCTCCAGTCATTTCTTTAATGACATTGTATTGTATTTTCATTTCGATCATACCTTACTTTTCAGTATAATTTCGCAAACAAAAATATTTATATCGAGCGATAAGTAAAGTATAATTGAAACATGTGTTCAAAACTTAGGCGATTGTGCTCCAATGAAGTTCTAATGATGATTTTATTTGTGATTTTCTACTATCACAAAGTATTTTTAACACAGGGTACTGCAAAATATTATATTTTATTTATAAATATCACGTAATAACTTTTAGATTTCTCAAATTCCGATCAGTGGTGAACACTTTGACTTGACACAATGGAATGGAATGCCCAAAAATACATCTCAATTAATTCATACGTATTCTAAATATAAGATTTTAAACTTCCGCGTCCCATTTCCACTAAAATAGTAAGACACGGTCTAAACGCGACGTTTATTAATGAGATACATTCTGTTTGTGACCACGGCTGCAGCATCGCAGCCGAAACGTCAAGCCGTGAGTACATAATGTAACTCATTAATAAACGTCGAGTTAAGGCCCGTGTCTTACTATTTTAGTATTCTAAATAGTGACAAGAATACACTTCACTTACTTGGCGGGCAGTTTGTACAAATATCCCTTGCCTTCTGTGGACCATACGAGGATCCGGTCCGGTGCTAGGAAGTCTCCAGACATCCAACGCTCGCCTTGGGGCGCTTGTATCGAACAGAGGACTGAGAAATCGCCTGGAAAGAAATATGATGATATTATTATGTAGTCATAATTTAATAGGGTAAACTAGAAATTGACGTAAAAAATAAAATGGCATATATTTAACGCTGTGAGTGGCACGTAAAATAACGTCAACAGTACCTAATATCGCATATGGCAAGTGCAAGTTGCACTTAAAAAGTTATCTAATACCTTAAAAAGTTGGAGTTCCAATAAGGGGGAGGAAAGGGGGAGTGGGGAGGGAGGTCACTGGCCGGCGTTGTATATTTTATTTATTTATTTATTTATTTTAAGGCCATGATTTCCCAAATTGTCGATATTTGACCGATTTTGTTTGCAGATAGCTTCTAAATGAAAAGATATTTTAGCAAACAAAAAATTGTACGAGTAAGTTAATGTCTTTAACTAGGGCGACAACTTTTCCAAAACACGATATTGCATAGTTTGTCCGATAAAAAAAATTTTTAAACATGCTGAATTATAAAACTAGATGGCGATACAGTTATTTAATTGATACCATAAATAATTATTTTAGAAGTTTACTGCTTGAATCTGAGTTACAAATTCTAAAAGGTCAGACGAGGACCTCTAGGCAAGTTGTTTTGAGGATTGTTTACTATTTCTGGGTTTACAATGATTAATTTAGAGTCATTTGCTTAAATAGAATAGCAAAATGTAAAAGAACATTAGTATTTCATATTAAAATGGAATTTAAATTTTTGTGATCATTTACTATTTTTGTCGGTAAAAAGTATTTGTTTGACTTAATATTATCATCTTTCATTTGACATTATTGATTGACAAACATTTGTGTGCATGAACATTATAATAATATTTGTTTCGGGCTGGGTGTTTTCTAACCATTCTTCTTCTTCCTCGGTCCCTCACTGATGAGGATCGCGACCACAGATAGTGTTCCTCCACAGACTGCGGTCATAAGCTGTGTGGACTGCACTATGCACGGTTTCTAACCATAATATTTATTTATTTATGTTATGTTATTTAAGTATTTTCATATCCCATAGTACAAGCTTTGCTTAGTTTGAGACTAGAGGCGCAGTGTTAAAATATTATGTCGAAGGATATTTAATTTTATTATTTATTTATTAACTATTTGAAGATTACGTAAACCGTCATCCAACTTACGGTTTGTTTTTACACTGTGGCGTCAACGCGTCGCGCGAGTGTCAGCGCGAGTGTCAGTGCGAGGTGTGCGGGGGCTGAGGTAAACAAATGCACGGCATCGAGGCGGTAAATCCTAGCCTTAAGGACAGCCAACAAAGCATACACCTTATCTAATATAACCTTAATACATCAAACATTATGTGGTGTTGCCTTACTTAAAGGCTGCCACGGCATGCAAATAAGTGTACTACTAATAGAAGGCAAACACAATTTCAATTTTCTTTTCTCTTTTGCATAAATCATGTTTAGAGTCTACAGTTCGTTTCGGATACATAGTCCAATCTTTAGACTATTTATCCGAAACGAACAAGTCATGCAATACAGCTTTAAATTTACGAGGTGAATATGATATTATGTCAATGCTCCCAGAAGATGACCGTGACAGGCGGCTAAACTGCGATTGGATTATATTGTTTGCGAAAACTGGCCCATGTTTGATAGAGACAAGTCATAATTATCTAACAGCGCAAAATGGGAAATGCTAGAAGAGTGGGATAAATAAAGGGGAAGGTCACGTACCTGCTTTGTATATCTAGCAATACTTGACGCACACGGTCTTTTGGTTGTATGCGCAACAATTAAGTAACAGTAAGAGAAACAAAATTGAGAGTTACAGAGGTAGAAAAGAGAGGGGAAAGGATAAGGGGAGAAAAGGGGAAAGAGAGAAAGGGGGAAGGGGAGATAGGGAAAAGGGGAGAGAGGGGAAAAGGTAAAGGGGAGAAAGGGAGAAAAAGGGATGTGTGAAAGTTACTAACCTGCGTCGTATATCTGGCAATACTTGGCGCACACGATCAGAACGGTCCTTTGGTTGTACGCGCAGCAGTTCAGCGACAGAGCGTCGAGGCAGAGGATTTCTGCTTCGACTCGTTCTCGTATATGGAGGGTGGGAAGGGGAGAAAAAGGGTAGGGGAGAAAGATGAAATGGAAGAAAAAGGGGAAGGGGATAAAAGGGGAAGGGGAAAGGGGAAAAGGAGGTAGGGGAGAAAGGGGAAACGGGGGAAGGGAAAATAGGGAAAAGGGGAAGGGGAAAGGGGAGAAAGGGGAAAAGGGGGTAGGGGAGAAAGGGGAAAATGGGAAGGGGGGAAAGGGGGAAGGGGAGAAAAGGGGAAGGGGAGAAAAAGGGATGGATGAAAAGTTACTAACCTGCGTCGTATATCTGACAATACTTGGCGCACACGATTAGCACAGTTCTTTGATTGTACGCGCAGCAGTTAAGAGACAAAGCGTTGAGGCAGCGGATCTGCTTCGACTCGTTCTCGTATATGGAGGGTGGGAAGGGGAGAAAGGCGCGGATTGGCAAGAGGAAAGATAGAAAAGAAAAGGGGAAAAAAGGGAAGGGGAACAGGGGAAGGGGAGAAAGATGAAATTGAAGAAAAAAAGGAAGGGGAAAAGGGGAAGGGGAGAAAGGTGAAAAGAGGGAGGGGAGAAAGGTGAAAAGAGGGAGGGGAGAAAGGGGAAAAGGGGAAGGGAAGACAGGGGGAAGGGGAGACGGGAAAAGGGGGAAGGGGAGAAAGGGGAAAAGGGGGAAGGAGAGAAAGGGAAAAAGGGGAAGAGGAAAGGGGAGGAAAGGGAAAGGGGAAAAAACGGCAAAGAAAGAAAAGGTGAGGGGGAGAAATTTCACCAACCTGCGTCGTATATCTGACAATACTTGGCGCACACGATTAGCACAGTTCTTTGGTTGTACGCGCAGCAGTTAAGAGACAAAGCGTTGAGGCAACGGATCTGCTTCGACTCGTTCTCGTATATGGAGGGTGGGAAGGGGAGAAAAAAGGTAGGATGGAAAAAAGGAAAGATGAAATGGAAGAACAAGGGGAAGGGGATAAAAGGGGAAGGGGATAAAAGGGGAAGGGGAAAGGGGAGAAAGAGGAAAAGAGGGTAGGGGAGAAAGGGGAAAAGGGGGAAGGGGGAAAAGGGGAAGGGGAGAAAAGGGAAAAGGGGAAAAGGGGGAATGGGGAAAAGGGGAAGGGGAGAAAGGGGAGAAAGGGGAGAATGGGGAAAAGGAGGAAGGGAAAAGGGGAAGGGGAGAAAAGGGAAAAGGGGAAGGGGAGAAAAAGGGATGGATGAAAAGTTACTAACCTGCGTCGTATATCTGACAATACTTGGCGCACACGATTAGCACAGTTCTTTGGTTGTACGCGCAGCAGTTAAGAGACAGAGCGTTGAGGCAGCGGATCTGCTTCGACTCGTTCTCATATATCGGCTCCGACTGCTTGTTCTCGTGGCCTAGGAGTGACCAGACCTGGAGAGATGTAATAAGGTATTATAACGTAAGGTCTAACGCATAATTTGAAGCCACGATAGCCGAACGGTGAAGGGGTCGGACTGGCCGACTCGTGATCCGGGGAACGCGGGTTCGGTCCCCGCCGCCGCTCGACTATTGTGGTGAGCTCACTCGTGACACAAGCATATTTAGCTTAGTACGAGGGGCTAACGAGAGTATTAGTAATTTGTGTAATAACAAATTACTAATAATCTTTTAAATAAAAATAAAAAATAAAAAAAATTCAGTCAATGCCTGAGGTATGGAAGCGGCACGGGAGGGGTGACATTGACAATGTTATAACATAAGAGAGCATACAAATCTAAAATCTAGCAGACATTTAGAGTAGGCGCACACCGTTGATTTTTAGTTGGCCGATAGTTGTGCCCGATTTTAAATTGTATGAAGAATCGGCCAAATCGAATCGGCGTAGTGTGCGCACTCCCATACATGCCCGTACTGATCAACTGCCCGACTAAACTATCGGCCGACGAAAAATCAACGGTGTGCGCCTACTCTTAAAGTCTTAAAAATACACCATCCGCTCTCATACCTCGTGAACTGACACAGTTAATAGCGTTTAACCTATAAAATTTTGCGTTTTTTTCAAAGTCAAAGTCAAAATTTCTTTATTTGTTTAGACTAATAAATAGTTCTTACAAATCGTCATTTTGCTCTTAAGGAGCCTCTACATGTCTCATAATCTTTTTACCCTACCAGCGCTTCGAGACCAACATTTTTAGGAGGCAAACGAGCAGACGGATCACCTGATGGTAAGTGATTACCGTCGCCCATAGACACCCGCAGACCCAGGGGCGTTACAGGTGCGTTGCCGGCCTTTAAGGAGATAGCGTTCTATTACAATTAAAGAGAAAACTCGTTGAGACCCCGTTTTGGAATTAAAAGATGTTGAAAAGACCGACTTGAGTTCCGTATCTTAAAATATTGTCCACCGTATACAGTGAACAGCACATTTTGAAAAAAAGAAACGGGTGGATAGAATTGAGAAGAAGAATGTTGAAAAAACAACGGTAATAATAACAGTGACTGTTGCTTTTTTTTACTTGAAATTATCAATTAGTTTATGTAATAATAGTAGAACCAAAAGCCTATTGCTTGCCGGACGACTATTTTGCCGCTGAGTTTGAAAATTGGTAAAGTATTAGGTACATAAAATTCATACAAACTGAGTGACACACATACCTTAACAGTCCCAGTAATGGATATAGCGAGAACGACGTCGTCTTTACGAGATGACGGGCGTAAAACCTGAAATAAACAAACAATACAGATTACAGTTGATGGCATATGGAACGCAGAGAATTCTGAAAACTTGTCTAGGATATGTAGTCCTCCCTAATCCTCCAATGGCCTCTGGTAAATTGGAGACGGTTGCGTTCCCGATAATAATGAAGTTATTATCGGGAACGCAAAATAGAAAACCTTTCTATGGCCTAAGGATCAATGATTAGTTAGTTTTAACTGGCGGTAAATGCAGATCTTGACTACACAGAAATTGCAAATAATTTGTCTGAAAAATGTCTATGGCGGTAAAACTAGATAGATTTTAGACAGCGTTGCAAAGAATTGGTCTTTCAAAGAAAAAATTACGTTTAGTGAAGCTTTTTAATTCAAGTCATTTACCTGGTCAAGATTGTGGTCAAATACCTGCCTTGTTATGCATAAAAAAATTAAAAAAAAGTCATCATCATCATTTCAGTCACAGGACATCCACTGCTGAACATAAGCCCAATGGCTTCCACATCGCGCGGTTGGTAGCGACCTGCAACCAGCGCCTTCCTGCTACCTTTATCAGGTCGTCGGCCCACCTTGTGGGTGGACGTCCCACGCTGCGTTTTCCGGTACGTGGCCTCCACTCCAGAACCTTGTTGCTCCATTGGCCTTCAGAGGTGGAATTGTGTAAAGCAATCGTTATCATTTGACAGTTCATAACGTACGATTATTCTATCAAACGCTTTGTTTAACTGACTTTATCGTACGTTATGAACTGTCAAATGATTACGATTGCTTTACACAATTCCACCTCAGTTCTGCGTACTATGTGCCCTGCCCAAATTTTAGTCACTGATGATTTTTCGAAAACTAACAACGATTTTAGATAGAAAACTTACGTGTAACGCAGATATCCAATCAGGATTCATTTTGGAGCTGAGCGAGAACAGAATCTCGAGTGAAAACGGATCCATGATAAGTATCTCCGCATAATATCCATTGCAAAAGAGCCTGAGGTCATCACTATTGCACATGTGGTATGCCTGGGAAGGAAAATATAAAATAGGTATATGTTCAATAGCTTCTGTATCTCTTTTAAAACAAACTTAGTACATTTTTCCTGTGATGCGGATTTCGTATTCTGTGGCCTTAGCTAGTCCGCATTACGCATGCGTGTAGCCCGCGTAATAAGAAAAAGACGTATAAAATAATGAAATGCGGGCAGCAAACATGAGGATTAATTCCGCACGCGTGCCGAAATCATCATTCACAGGAAAAAAGGCACTTACTCATAGCGTCGCCATGTGTAAGCTCCCCATGCTAAGCTTACACATGCGACTTTTTTAACCGACTTCAATAAAAAGGCGGAGGATCTTTGCAGCGATACAAACGCGCGTTCAACAGTCGCGCGACTGCAAAGCGATTGTGACGGTGCTTTTAGTAATGCATGTGTATAAAGGTAGATTTTGCGATTGATACATGCTGCATCGCGACTGAAATAAGTTACATTGCGACTTTTTGCAGGAATTATATTAATAACAAAAGGATTACTGATAGTAAACTACTAACATGCACTCATTATTCAATGTATTCCTTACCTGAATATTAGTGTGTACTTGAGTCAGTTTAACACTCTCTCTACACTTCCCATCGACCAGATCCCAAGTGCACATCTCACCGGCTTCTGAAGAGCTCACAATGAAGTTGTTATCCTGGAAAACATTAAAGATTAGCATTAGATAATATGTTTTATAAGTAAAAAACAAATAATTCATAGTACAAGCAACATCGCTTAGACTAAACACTGTGGTATCTTATACAGGGTGTCTCATGAAGGGTGTAACAGCAGCCGTCTGGTGTAGAGGACACTAATGCTTATCGATTTAACTCCCTATGTTTATGGGACAGCCTGTATATTAGGCGTAAATGCAAGTTTGCAACAAAAATATGTAGTCTGATGTGCTGTTGATTAAACAAACACACTATTGTTTATTTCTGTATACCTGTGGTTCTTAACCGGTGGTCCGCGGACCACTGGTGGTCCCTGGAGGCATTCCTAGTGGTCCGTGAAGACATCATAATAAACAAGTGACGTGACGTGATGAGTCGAGTCAACACAACGCAAACGGCGCACAGTGGGCGAGAAATCGACCTCCCTTTCATAAGATTATGAAAAAAAAAAAAGTGGTCCCTGACAAGACAGAAATTTGGTAAAATGGTCCCTCGTGACTTAAAGGTTAAGAACCACTGCTGTATACTGTACACATTACACAAGCCACAACCAGTTTATTGGGAGTTCATTAGTGTTTAACTAATGATTAGAAGTCACAATCAATAACACAAACCTGTATAATCGAAGCTCTGGACAAACACGTAACCGGAGCGGTGTGCCCAACCAGCAAACACCTAGGTGTCATCTTCAACGTCTCTGGGTGCACCTGCCAGATGCAGATCTGACCGTCATAGCAGCCGGTTACAAGTGTCTTCTGGTCGCGGGACAGGTAGATGGAGGAGATGCAGTGGGTGGGAGCATGCTTGCCCCATAACACTACCGGCACTATGAGATTTGTGCCTGGCATTTTGTCTGTGGATGAGGAAAGACGCATAAGAGTATGATTAGTTTAATGTCTTGATGGTAGTCCTATTAAGGTGAGTATAGACTAAAGCCCGGTCTGTGAGCACGTAGAATTTTGTCTAATGACCCCAAGCTACCCATCCTTATCGCTCTCGCGTACTTATATTGCTGTCGCGACTGTGCGACGGGCGCCCGCAGTGAGTGCGCAAACGCGACAGCAACAAAATTACGCGCGAGCGATAAGGATGGGTAGCTTGGGGTCATTGGACAAAATTCTACGTGCTTGCAGACCAGACTATAGAGCATTTTCCCAAGCATTTCTATGTAATGTAATGTTCTTGCGAATAGTATATTACAGGTAAAAAGTATGATGTTGGTTCGTGAAAGGGTGATACACTAGGTATTTCATAGAGCACCTCGTTGTTCTATTCAAATGCTTTGGTCTATACCAGTCTTTCCCAAAGTGGGCGATAACGCCCCCTTGTGGGCGCTGCAGGCTTAAAGGGGGGCGGTAAGAGACCCAGAAAAAAAAATCGGGACGTTGTGTAGAGGTTTGGGAGGCGTCATCTGCTAGGAGGACTCTTAGACACCAACTGAGCTCGACTCGACTACAAAAATGGGGGGCGCTAAAAAATAATTTATTCTCAAAGTGGGCAGTAGACTAAATAAGTTTGGGAACAGCTGGTCTATACTCACCTTTAAATGATTGATTCAAGGTGGCAGGGGGTAGCAATGGGCAGCTGCCCATGCATGAGCAATAATAATGTAAGATTTGGTAAAGCAGGAAAATAGGAGTTCAAAATTAAGGATAGATGGGTTTTTTTTTGGGACTATCCCGCGGATTTATTGCCGCGGTGATTCTGCCAATGTCAAGTCATAGTCATAGATTTTTGACAAGTGTTTAAGGAGCCACATACTTTAGTCCGCTTCAGTAATTTTTTAGATAATGCTGTAGTCACTTCCCCTTTTTTTTAAAAAAAAAAAACCTAAAACCACCACCTAAAATGGGAAATTTACTTTGATTGCATCAAAACAGAAGCAGGTATGATTGCGCAATTTTTTTTTTCAAACGGCCGGTGGTACGTACTTGAATAGAGTACTCAAAAACATACCCAATCCAATAACACAATTAAAAAAGGGTAGATGGACATTTTTATTAGGGTGGGTATAAATTGCTTACAAAACTACGCCCTAAAATAACCGACGATATGATGATGTTACGATTTTCTAATTAGGTAAATACTGTGTTACTGACTGATATAATCTACAATAGTAATTTTCTAATGTTTTTTCCTTTTTTTTCCATACCCGAACGTTTAAAGAGAATAACATGCTACCTACCTAATTAGGATGATCTTAGAAGTAGGCGAGAGTTAAGTAATAGTTCACAATAGTAAATAAATAAGGCGTGAAGCAGTATTGTTTGTGTAACAAAATGATAAGAGCTAGAATCATTACCTATTTACGTAGTCAGGGACAAATCAATTTATTACTTACCTGGTAATAGCAGTGATCGCAAACTGGCGTGTATTTGCGCGGATAAATATCAAGCACCCATGGGCTGCAACAAAAGCCGAACAAATCAGATTTAATTATAAAAAACAATATTCAACTTCGATATCGACAAAAATCTGCTGCAAGATTTTGACAGCTGATCAACTGACAGCTGCTGACAGCTACTATTATGTAAAAGTTGGCACCATTGCTCACGTCAATATTTAGGGATGTAGGCATTAGTTTGAAAGTCCGGTTTTCCGGTTCCCCATCCGAGTATGATGAGAGACCCAAATCTGAAAAATGTAAAACCTTTTTAGGATTATTTCGAATTATTTTAGAATAAAACCTAATTGGAATTTTTTGACATTGTTGTGAAATGGCGTTTTCATCTTGACCTTTACGAGTTTAATAATTTTGTTCAAATCGAATGTAGAAAAAATGAGTAAGAAAATGAGTTCTTCGACCAAAGTTCGGTCTAAGCCAAATCTAAGAGACGAAAAGATTACTGATTTGGCTGCAAAGATCGATGAGACAGATGAGATGAAGCTCAAAATGTTAGCGGCCCTTGATAAGCCGGAATCTGATGATGTTTTATATCCTCCGGAGTTGAATGCTCATTTAATTGAGCAATTAAAGGTACGTAACCAAAACCATGATAACGGTCTCTGGTCTAGTAGTAAGACCACCTGCTTCAACCCAGAGGACCCGGGTTCGATTCCCAGATGAGGGGCAAAGTTAGCGTTAAGTAAGTACCTACTATGTAGGTAGAATGTATCAGTTTCTATTTCAATCACAGGTTATGACATGCGAGAACAATCAACTACGCAAATGCGTCTTTACTAAAGACGAAGAGATTAAAGAATTGAATAAAACTGTGACTGATTTAAACCAGCGCATCCGCGATATCATATCTGGCACAGGCCCAGCCATATCCTCAAAATCCGCTGGAATTATCAGCTCTAAAATAACTGAACTGTGCAAGCAAAACCGCCATTTGGTCGCAGAAGTAGAAGGCTACAAAACAAAAAATTCAGCCCTTGAAAGGAAAATCATGCAACTAGACTTGATTAACAAAGAAAATGAGAAATTAGACATGTGTCTGTGTAAAGAAGAACCGCCGGACACAACCTCTGATGAACTGAAAGATCTTAATAATAAACTGAATGCGGTGAATAAAAAGTTATACGATAGTAAGAATAGAAATTTAGAATTGAAGAACGATATCCTCATTGCTACAAAAATTCTACAGCAAGAACTTGGGGATAAGTTTACAAGTATCAAAGAACTGCAGAATGATTTGGCTGGCTGGAAAGGTAGGGCACAGCAAATAGTATTGTTGCAAGCGAGAATTAGCGAGCTGGAAGAGAAGCTGAATGGAAAGCACAAGGATTTGATTGATGCTAAGAGAAAGGATCAAACTCAGGTGACAATCTCTCTGCTTTCTCTTGATTTTTAACATATAGTTAGGTTAGTCAATACTTCTATAGCGGAATCTGTTTCAGATTATACGAGAAATAGAAAATAAAAGAAAGAAAGAGATGGAAATGTCGATGAAAGAGCTCGAGTGTCTAAAAGAGGAAAATCACGACATAAAAAAGAAGTTGGATGGAGCTAAATGCAGAATCAGGAATCTAGAATGTGATGCAATCACCATTAGACAAAAAATGCAAACATTGGTGGAAAAAAGCAATCATGATGATTTGTTGATTACTGAACAAAGAGTAAGTTTGTATATTGTACCTTCATATTTTTATTTCTTTTATTTCTTAGCCTTCTTGTTTACCACTATGCCAAAAAGAACTTTTCCATTTCAGAACCAAATCAAAAGCCTAGAATTATATTATCAAGAAATACTCAAAGAAAACACAGCAAAAATGAACAAAATGAACAGTGAAATGGCTGAGTATCAGAAACTGATGAAAAATACTGACGCCAAAATAGATGCTCTCAGGAAACAAGCGACTGAGAAATCAGCCAAAATTGACGAACTGAGAGCTCAACTGTTGAGGTACGAAGAGTGTTCACTACAAAGTGTCTTCTTTACACCTATGAAGACTGCCACTGACAACGAAATTAAGAAGTTGTCTGAATTGGTGGTCGTTCTTAATGAGAGGCTAGATGCTGAGCGTCACAAATGGGAAGAGCTTGAGATCACTCAACGAAAACTTAAAGAGAAGAAGCGCAGGCTAGAAAGACGAGTTGCTGCTCTTGATGAAGAAGTAAAGACATTGAGAGAGTCCAAAAGAGCATCAAGAGTTTCAAAAACTTCTGTGGCTAAAGAACAGCAGTATGAATTTGGTATGACATCAACTTCTGTCACAAAAAAGCATTCTTCTATCACTGCTGTTGCCGAGAAACCCAGCGAGTCTTCATCTGAATCCCAACCAGTCGACTACGATTCATTGGATAAAGAGGATCTAAAATACAAGCTCGAACTATCAGAAGAAAAACTTAAGATCATGGAAGATAAACTAAAGATGATTGAAGAAGAGAAGCAAGAAGATTACAATCATCTAACGGATATGATTCAAACTTCGAAGCAATTGTTTAACGAAGCGTTGGCTGTTTTACAAAGAGAGAAATGTCTTTGTTCGTAGATTTATTAGTATGTTTATTTATTTCAATATATTTTATTTTAATTAACTAGCATAGTTGTTTTATTGATTTCGTTTTGAATAATCAACCCGGATAACCGGAAGTTCATTGGTAGTTCAATCATTCAGTAGTAGATCTTGGTAGTAGTTTTTATTTCTGTTTCTTGCAACACCAACGGTGGCCGCCATTTGTCATTTTTTTGGCATGCGCGTAGGGGAGAGCAACGAGAATCGTGCTCACGAGTGTTTTTCATGAAAAGTAAACTAAACTTTGTTTGTGAATTGTGAAAACTTGTGTTACTCTGTGAAGCAGGTGTACATCTGTTTTTTAGTGTTCTGTGTGTGAAAAAACTTTCAAAATGAATAAAACTTGCGCAAGGTGCGAGAAAACAGTTTATCCCACGGAGGAATTGAAATGTTTAGACAAGGTAATATTCTTCGTTTTTGCTTTATTGTAAAGTTTTTGTAACACGGAAATGTAACGGTTATTAAAATAAAACAGACACTTCCGTTGTTGGGCTATTAACCCTCGTAACGTTTCGGTAGTGATGTCAACATTTTGGATCTCATTGTGGTTGACCGGTACATCAAATGGACAGTCCGAGTGACTCACTAAATTATATAAATTGCGACTGATATCATTGCGGGCGCACTATAAGCCGCGTTGTACATCTCGACCTTTCCCCTAATTGGACCCATTTATGCAAACAAGAACCAACCCACAGCAGGGTGGTTTCGAGAAAATGAGATTTTTGTAAAAAGAGTGCGCAAAATGCATACATAATATATAAATGAATGATTACTTGTTAATCTTATGTGGGATACTGCAGCCTTTCTAGGAATATCAGATTTATAAATTTTGTAAAGTTAAAGTTAAAGTAAATCGTTAAAAACCGGTTGGTTCTTTCTTGCAAAAACATTTTTTGTTGCTTAGTTCCTTCTTGCAAAATGGATGTAAGATTTCATTGTTGTGATATATCTAAAATTAAAAGTCATTCTATATAAAATATAGATTTTAATGCCTTTTATTAGATAGTGAATTGGAATCACGAACCCTTCAAACTAAAATCACTATTATTATCGTCTTCTACCTCAAAATCGATAGGACCGGTAATACTGTCGATATGGTCTTCTATGTTGCTACTTTTCAGGGTTTTGTAGAAATTGTGTGTGTCGTTTCGGTATTAGATGCAGAATACTTTTAATATTCTGTTAGTTTAGCCTCAGATATAGATTTTCCTGTAAGCTAAAGTAAGTCCATGTCATTTTTTGTCATCACGGCCTTGCTTCTGATATTTTTCTGTATATTAACTTCTTTGTGCCGTGTGGGAACGGCCATAAAGAATAAGTACTCGTCCCTACCAGGAACAGCGTGTCATGAATGGCGTGTCGTAAGAGGCGACAAAAACTCCTGCAGCACCGGACGGATCTCTAGCCCTGGAAATCATTAACACTCGCACACTGCGGACTGACATGAGGCTCGCCGAACTCGAGGAAGAACTGAGCAGGTTGCGGTGGGATATCGTAGGATTATATGAAGTCCGAAGAGAGTGGGAGGACACCATAATCCTCAAATCCGGAAATCTGCTCTATTTCCGGGAGGGCGACCAGCAGTCCTAGGGTGGTGTCGGGTTTATCGTCCACAAGTCCCTTGTCAACAACGTGGTCCAGGTCCAGATCGAGAGTGTTTCGGCGTAGCGTAACTTATACTCAGAATCACCAAACGGTATTCGCTGGAGGTCATACAGGTATATACATACGCACCGACCACGGAACACCCCAACGACGAAGTAGATACTATGTATGAGGATATTTTCAGAGCCATTCATACCTCCCGGTCCCATTTTACCGTTATGATGGGGGACTTCAACGCGAAGCTGGGTAAACGAAGCGATAGTGAGCTGAAAGTGGGGCAATTGGGGTACGGCGAGAAGAACGCAGGTGGCCGACTGCTGGATGGCTTTATGGAGAGGGAGAGCCTCTTTATGATGTACTCCTTCTTCAGGAAGCCAAAGCAGAGAAAGTGGATATGGCTGCATCCCAATGGCGCTATAAAAAATGAGATCAACTTCATCTTGTCGACGAAGAAGCATATATTAAATGATGTATCTGTGATCAACTCGGTCAAAACAGGAAGTGATCAACGAATGGTAAGAGGCACATTGAATATCAGACCCAAGCTCGAGAGGTATCGATTGATGAATTCTACGCTCCGCCCAGCGTCCATCCAACTAAAACCCTNTATAATACAGACCATATAAAAGAGGCGAATGAGCGTAATAAGGGCTCTAACTAAAGTGTTCGAATGAGATCTGTCTGTTGGCCAAAGCCTACTGACCAAGCTGAAGACCGAGGATGGCAGTGACATCTCGTCGGGGCTTGAGTTATTGAAAGAGGTTGAGAAGTTCTACGGATAATTATACACGAGTGTACATACACCTGTCACAAATCTAGCTGAAAACCCAAGAGCTAGATTGACCCGACACTATACCAAAGATATCCCGGACGTCAGCCTTTACGAGATTAGAATGGGTCTCAATCAGCTGAAAAATAACAAGGCACCGAGTGATTATGGAATCACGGCTGAGCTTCTGAAAGCAGAGGACGCCGGTACTAAAGATTCTTCAGAAGCTGTTTGATTCTGTCATCCTTGAGCAAAAAAACGCCTACGGCATGGCACAGTAATGTGGTGATACTCTTCTTCAAAAAAGGCGACAAAACCTTGTTGAAGAATAAATTATAGACCCATCTCACTTCTGAGCCATGTCTACAAGCTGTTTTCGAGAGTCATCGAGAATCGTCTCATTCATGAGCTGTCAACGTCGTTATTTCGTTTTGAAGAACAGGCTAAGGTCATAAGATCATACTATTCATACTGCTTCGTTTCATCTTTTTCGAGTAGAGTTTTTAATGCATAAATTTATTCATCAAATTTTGTTATTATTAAGACATTTTTTATGATAAAGGTACAAACGCAACGATAAGAACGGATTTTTTATTTTTAAATAGCTTAATTTTAACACTATCAAGAACTATGCTACATGGTTCCTTCAAGACTAACCTGATTTCCACTAAGCAAACAATCGGTGGTTCTGTTAGTTATAAAAATTTTGTAACAATTTTTGCTAAATGGAACCAACCAACATTGGTTCTAGTTTGCATAATTAGTTTAAATAAGTGCTTAGGGACCATGCTGTATAGTTCTTTATAGTTTTTAAAAGTTGGCCAAAGCGGGTTGGTTCCGCAAGTGACAGTGCTGTATCTCTGTTGTTAGTCGTTAAAAATGTACCATAATTTTTTTGAAGATAGAATGCGTTATTTGTGCGCCATCTATGTACTTAACTCAATTTCACTCAAAGTGTGGGTTGGTTCCTGTTTGCATAAATGGGTCCAATTAGAGGCATCTTAGGCAATGGGCGACCTTGGGTCAGATACTTTGCATTGTATTCAAATATTGGTTCCCAGAGGCGGTATGATAGCATATTTCTTTGCCAATGGTTGGTGATGAAGAAATATTTTTTAATTAAAGATAAAGGTTGTTTACTCCTTTATCTTCAAGAATATTTGCAGATAAGAAGTGATATAATGCTGTAGTATGATAAGAAAGCAATTATCACCTTTTCTTGTGAGGTAGCACCTAGTTTGCGGAGATAAGAAACTTGTGAATAAATTTTTCATGTTTTTTAGCTTGTACTTTTATCATTTTGCTATTATGTACACTATGCATTTAAAGATTTAACTCTTCCCTTGAAGATTTAAAGATTTAAACACAAACCCCCTTAGCCCTTTTGCACAAAAAGCTAAATGCGCGTTGAACACACTGGTTTAAATTGACATTTTAGTATGGAAATGTCATTTTAAAGTAGTGTTCAACGCACATGTAACTTTTTTAAACCCTTATTTTCTTGACATTATTTGGTCTAATACCCTAAAAAAACATTATTACTTTTCTGTATTACAAGTGGTTGTAGTTTAAACTTATTTTCTCAGTTTATAGACCTTTCTCCCATTTGTTACTATTATTGTCATAAAAGAATGCATCGATGGCAATATAAATGTTAATTGAAACACCTGTGTATAATTTTACAGAGTTGAATAACTCGTGTGGTATGAGGCAGTATGGAATTTATAACGAACAATACAAGGAATTATTTACTTCAGCAAAATTTTAACTAATAAAATACTGTAATATTGGTTTAGAACATTATTATTTTCAGAAAATTCTCACTTCATATTGGAGACACTAGTAAAAAAAATCAGATCAGTCAGTAATTTGTTTGCAGCTAATAATTTAAAACAGTGTGTAATTCTATTACACTTGTACACTTAACCAGCAAATAACTGGATTAACAAGTAATACAAATGGGAAATTTTGTTAGTTGTAGAACCCATTTCGACTTCCTTATTGTACGAACTCATAATTGTATATTAATTCCTGACTCATACAGGATATTACCAGTGACTAGACACCAGTTCATTTAATTTCCTTACATCATGCTAAATGTAGACCCTCATCTGGGTGGATAAGAAGACAAAATCTGTTTTTAGGGAAAAATAAATAAAAACATCAAAAGATAATTGAAAAAAGTAGTTTTTCTGTAAACCATAAACTTCAATAAAATAGTAATCTAGTTAGTTTTGCAGGGCAATCGAATGCCACACTTAGCCTCATGATTGGGCCATTATGCTCGTTTTGCACACAAAAAAAACTTTATTTTGCTAAAAAAAAACGTAAAATAAAGATCAACACTTTTTATTCCATTCTTTATTTCATCCATTTTGTTTACATTATTTTCTCTATTCACTCTCCAACATACAATTACCAAACTAAGTGAATTCCATCTTTTTAATGATGATGATATGTCAATGTACCTAATTCAATAAAATGTGTACCAAATTGTGTTTACGGGCACAGGAAGATGAATCAACTTATTATGTTTGTTTACCTCATCACAATTACTCATATTAGTCACTATCTGTGACCTCGTCTGTATTTATAAGCGTGTTAAAAATATCTTCCCTAAAACTCATCAAACTACATGGTTGTTATTCTAAAAAGTTTTTTACTACCCTAGAGAAACTCTTGACCTGCGTCTCCTCACCTGATGGATCGTGATGATTAGGCCGAAAATAGAAGCATCACCCTAAATCCAACCACAGAGGAATTACTATTTATCTTGAAAACTAAATTAGTCAAAAACTAATGCAAAATTTCTGCTATGTCCTCATTTGGTCAAGATAGACCTCATTTCAAATTGGCCATACTTAGAGAACTGGTAATACCAGTTTTAATTTCCTCAGATTAAAGCATGTTAGTTATATCATAGAAAACTTGGCGGACGTCGGTATCCACTCCGAATATGTAGAGAAATTACATTCCTGATTGTTGGAGAACAGGTATTTTTATTATCACTTTTTATGGATTATTTAACTTATGGGCGATAAATATGCGCCAGGTGTAGATAGGTAGTCCTCAAGTCAGCTGCTAAATTATTTATTCATGATTTCCAAACAGAAATTATACGAATTTTCAAATACCAAAAGGCACTGTCTTAATATTTCTCAATGAATTCTTTCTTTGTTCTGTTAATTATTTTTAAAATTAAAGTTCTGATGTAATTACTATGATTAATTTTTTTGTAACAATTTAGTAGAAAGTTGGCACGAAAAATAACTTCATAAGAATTTTGAGTTGCATGTTTTTTAAACTTATTTATTCTAAAAGTTAATATCATGCTATTAACTTAATGAACTAGTTTAAATTGTATGTACTTAAACAATGGCTTAGTTCATTACAGTGTTGATTGCCTACCATTAGATGATGATCCATTACATAGAAAAACATCATCATCATGCTCATTATTGGATGCACATTATCACCCCACATTTAAGTAGTTTGTAATAGTTATTTTATTTATTTTTATTGAAAATTTTTAGCTAATATTTTAATTAACTGATTAAACGCCATGGATAGCGACTATATTAATACTCTAATTAGTTTTATCTGAAAGGACTCTGGGTGCTTTGTCACTCTAAAACTTTTAGCTTTGTGAAATAAGCCTATTTTTCGTTATTTGTCCAGTTACACATGAACAGGGTTCGAAAGGATAATTATCACGTTATTTTACTGGTTACTGATCTGAAGCCAGAAACATTTAATTTTCGGATAGATCCAGTTTATTCTGTAACCTATTATTGGTACCGTTTGATAGAGCTTGTGAAGCACTTTCAGGACCAGTAACTAGTTTTTTGATATCTTGTGTAGTTTAGAAATAATCGAGTGAGATCACTTATCGTTTCCACCCTGTATAGCTTTTATACTACCCGTGTCACTCCCTCGCGAAAAAATAAATAAATGCGCATTGAACACTTGTTTATTGGCGATGCAAAGATTCTAACTAGCGCCTCTAGTGTCAAAATTGTGAAGCTGTCTAAGAACGACACTTTGACAGTTTTCGTTACAATTAACGTCAGGGAAAAACATAAATAATAAATACAAATAAGATTTACGTGGCATTTTGCTGTTTAAGACAATAATTATGTTGTCAATAGTCGATGTAATTAATGCGTCTGCAGGATACACAAAACCAATGCGTTCTGGTGAAGAATTATTACGGAGTGGAATGGTGATTTCGGTTGGAAAAAAAGAGAAAAATAATAACGTAATTCATGTACAAGCACTGGTACTACGAACGTCGGGATTAAATTCCAAACATCCAGCCATTATAAAACTGTGGATAGATGTATCTCAAGAATATGGAAATAGATTAGTTGGTGATAATGAACAAGAAGTCACAAAGGTCTGCGATTGTCCTGCTGGAGCTTCAGAGAAATGTAAACACATATTAGCTGTTATGCTTTATCTCTCAAGGTTTGTAAATTGGTCAATTACTTTTATATCCATTTGTCCATCCTCATCCATATGCACTATGAATTCTATAAAATAATGTTAAAGTAGGTACCTAATTTACTCTGACTGTCTGTCTGTAACAATTTTACAGTCAGGTAATAGATAATGTAAAGTACTTACCTATATAAGTACTAGACCATAATTGTAAATGATTAGCTATTTTTATCTTTTTCAGAACTGAGGAGGCAGATCTGGAGGACCTGAGTTGTACTTTTCACAGTAATTTTCTTGGGAATGAAGATACTATCAGAGGCCTTCGCTGTGAAGCAGTCGCAAGAGATTTATATGCAGAGCGTTATAGCTGCATGATTTTAGAGTCTGGATTGCTGGTTCGACCAGAATTACCATGGCTTTCTGCAAGTCTAGACGGTACTGCCATGGATAAAGATGGAAATTTTCTTACAAATATTGAGATTAAGACATTAAAGGAAGGAACTCGTTTAACTGCAGATGAACTGATAGAAATGAATGCAATTCCTATATTAGATAAAAATCAAAATTTGAAAAAAAATACTCAGCATTATACTCAAATGCAAGTAGGCATGTTATTGTCAGGTATTACAAATTGTGATTATTTAGTTTACTCTGAAATAGGAAAAGATTTAGCTGTAAGAAGAGTTTCATTTGATGAAAATCATATTTTGGAAATTTGTGTATGTCTTGTTAATGTTTATTTTGAGAAATTTCTTCCTAGAATAGTTAACGACTATGGATCAAATTATGACTGAATTTGAATAAAAATAAATACAACTCTGTGTACTAAATTATTTATTCACTGTAAAAATTTATTGCCACTCTTACAAAATTCCCTTCCGATTATATAATAACTACATAAATTTATCAATGTGAATAATTGGTGGACCCAAATTTGTAAGACCACCAACAATAATTAATATATCATCAAAATAAGACGCCAGTGACCATGGTAATGGTCCACATAGAAGTTTATATTGTCGTAATCTCTGTATCACTCTCTCAACATGCACTCTTGCCCGTGCAATCTCTGCAGTGCGGATTGCATCTTCTTTGGTCATCTGCTTTTTCTGACTCAAGAAAGGAGGCCTGACAAGCTGAAGCAGACGCTGTAACAAGAACATTAATATGTAAATACATTGCATAATTAATCAAATGTCATTTGTACTAACTATTCAATTAATATCTTTAACTAACTTCATTACACTCGGATTCAATCCTGTATCCTTTATCCACCATCACTCCATCATTAAACTCGCATTTATTTAAGATTCCTGATTTATTTACAATATGTTTATCTGATGCTCGACCACCATAAGATGCACTTATTTCAGTTATAAGTCCAGAAGGAGTTATTCCAATATTAAACTTGGCTGTATTGTTTTTTTTATATTGAGAGTATGTCAATATTCTACATTTTAAACATTTACATTTTTCAATCACAGTTTCAACACAGTCGAATATTATTCTTGTATTTTTATATTTTTGGAATGATTTAGGTAGGTTGCTACGGATCATTTCGATATCAGGCCAAGGAATAATAACTTTGAGTACTCTACTCAGCATGGGGCACATATTATTAAAATAATTAGAACATGTCTGCCTGTTTATACCAAACAAAACACCAATGGCTCTAAATGACATATTTTGTTTAATTTTTACCATTGTCAAAATAACTCTGTCTCTTACAGATAACATTTTCTTATTTGTTGGAGCATCTAAGGCCAATTCACTAACACAAGTCACCAATGTTTCNATTGGCGATGCAAAGATTCTAACTAGCGCCTCTAGTGTCAAAATTGTGAAGCTGTCTAAGAACGACACTTTGACAGTTTTCGTTACAATTAACGTCAGGGAAAAACATAAATAATAAATACAAATAAGATTTACGTGGCATTTTGCTGTTTAAGACAATAATTATGTTGTCAATAGTCGATGTAATTAATGCGTCTGCAGGATACACAAAACCAATGCGTTCTGGTGAAGAATTATTACGGAGTGGAATGGTGATTTCGGTTGGAAAAAAAGAGAAAAATAATAACGTAATTCATGTACAAGCACTGGTACTACGAACGTCGGGATTAAATTCCAAACATCCAGCCATTATAAAACTGTGGATAGATGTATCTCAAGAATATGGAAATAGATTAGTTGGTGATAATGAACAAGAAGTCACAAAGGTCTGCGATTGTCCTGCTGGAGCTTCAGAGAAATGTAAACACATATTAGCTGTTATGCTTTATCTCTCAAGGTTTGTAAATTGGTCAATTACTTTTATATCCATTTGTCCATCCTCATCCATATGCACTATGAATTCTATAAAATAATGTTAAAGTAGGTACCTAATTTACTCTGACTGTCTGTCTGTAACAATTTTACAGTCAGGTAATAGATAATGTAAAGTACTTACCTATATAAGTACTAGACCATAATTGTAAATGATTAGCTATTTTTATCTTTTTCAGAACTGAGGAGGCAGATCTGGAGGACCTGAGTTGTACGGACATTGAGAAACAATGGGGTACACTTAAAACTACAGCATTGAAGGAATATGAAGCAAAATCTTTGTCTGAAATGTGCCATGTGAAAGGACAGAGGGACATCTATGTGAAAACAATGCCAGAAGTCACTGAAGAGATGGAAAGTCGTTGGAGAATGAAGTTAATACAGAGTAAATACTTGTAAAGCATAATATGGCACCTACCTGGAAAACATCAATTTCATAAAATTATATTTTCAGATTGAATGGACAGTTACAAACAAAAATGAAGTTTCTAAAATTATGCTGTTTATTTCAGGCGCACCAAACAGTGAATATTCTTTATTTACAAGTCTAATGCGAAGAGGTGATGGAGTTGTTGATAATGGTGAAAGGGTAATTAGTAGAAGTGTAGACAAGACAAAATTTCCTGAAAAACTATTGACTTTTAATTCGTGGCGGGTAATAAATATATTAAGAAAACTGACTGAAGAAAAGTTGAAGACATGTAAAGTAAATGAATTTGAATTTTACAACAGATATGTAGCTGTATCATTAGACCAAAGTACAGAAATAATCAATGCTGAGCAGGGTACTCCTTTTTGGCATAAAGCTAGAAAAGTAAGACTAACAGCCTCCAAAGCGAGAGCCCAGTTTACTTATTATTCTAATAAAAATGCTGATTGGGATAAAAGATATCAAGAGGTTTTTCACAGTAATTTTCTTGGGAATGAAGATACTATCAGAGGCCTTCGCTGTGAAGCAGTCGCAAGAGATTTATATGCAGAGCGTTATAGCTGCATGATTTTAGAGTCTGGATTGCTGGTTCGACCAGAATTACCATGGCTTTCTGCAAGTCTAGACGGTACTGCCATGGATAAAGATGGAAATTTTCTTACAAATATTGAGATTAAGACATTAAAGGAAGGAACTCGTTTAACTGCAGATGAACTGATAGAAATGAATGCAATTCCTATATTAGATAAAAATCAAAATTTGAAAAAAAATACTCAGCATTATACTCAAATGCAAGTAGGCATGTTATTGTCAGGTATTACAAATTGTGATTATTTAGTTTACTCTGAAATAGGAAAAGATTTAGCTGTAAGAAGAGTTTCATTTGATGAAAATCATATTTTGGAAATTTGTGTATGTCTTGTTAATGTTTATTTTGAGAAATTTCTTCCTAGAATAGTTAACGACTATGGATCAAATTATGACTGAATTTGAATAAAAATAAATACAACTCTGTGTACTAAATTATTTATTCACTGTAAAAATTTATTGCCACTCTTACAAAATTCCCTTCCGATTATATAATAACTACATAAATTTATCAATGTGAATAATTGGTGGACCCAAATTTGTAAGACCACCAACAATAATTAATATATCATCAAAATAAGACGCCAGTGACCATGGTAATGGTCCACATAGAAGTTTATATTGTCGTAATCTCTGTATCACTCTCTCAACATGCACTCTTGCCCGTGCAATCTCTGCAGTGCGGATTGCATCTTCTTTGGTCATCTGCTTTTTCTGACTCAAGAAAGGAGGCCTGACAAGCTGAAGCAGACGCTGTAACAAGAACATTAATATGTAAATACATTGCATAATTAATCAAATGTCATTTGTACTAACTATTCAATTAATATCTTTAACTAACTTCATTACACTCGGATTCAATCCTGTATCCTTTATCCACCATCACTCCATCATTAAACTCGCATTTATTTAAGATTCCTGATTTATTTACAATATGTTTATCTGATGCTCGACCACCATAAGATGCACTTATTTCAGTTATAAGTCCAGAAGGAGTTATTCCAATATTAAACTTGGCTGTATTGTTTTTTTTATATTGAGAGTATGTCAATATTCTACATTTTAAACATTTACATTTTTCAATCACAGTTTCAGCACAGTCGAATATTATTCTTGTATTTTTATATTTTTGGAATGATTTAGGTAGGTTGCTACGGATCATTTCGATATCAGGCCAAGGAATAATAACTTTGAGTACTCTACTCAGCATGGGGCACATATTATTAAAATAANTTCGCCAATATTTCCGTACTAAATGTCAATTACTTAACTACGTCAAACGTAACAAGTGGTCCATGAACTCAAAAAAATGTGGACCACTTTGCCACTATTGTGAAAAAAAATAATGCTGCCACAATATTGTTGGGGCGGTAAAAACATGTGAAGGTAACAAATATCCCAATTTGTTGTATGAACGAAAGTGTATTTAATTGCACGTTTATTTTTAGACCATTTCATCAATTATTAATTAGTCTTTAATTTTGTAATGTTGCTATTTAAAAGTTATTATCTGGCGTGCAATATATTGTCGGCGAAGTTGTTACTGATTCATTACAAAACAAAAAAGTCGTTTCAGCTGTCTTATTGCTTGGATTTTAGATTGTCACAGAAATTCTCTCTGAGCGTTTTTCAAGCGCAAAAATACCTATTTATACGTACCAAAAGTATAAAAATAAGTTTAAAATTAAATTATAAATTCTCCGTAATGGTCCATCGTAATAAATAAAATGCATTAAAATCGTAATGGAGAAGTTTCCAATTTTTTTCTTTTGATAAAACTTGAAAATATATGTAAAACTAATAATAATTGTGAACGAATCATGTAAATATCTCTACAAGTAAAAAAGTTACAGAGCCCTAAAATTGCGCATAACAAATATTTCGCCGTTTATGTAACCATTTTTCAAATTTTTCATAAAGTGTTAATATCAAAATAAAAATAAATTAAAAGATTCAAAAAGTGTGATTCCGGCCAGGATCGAACTGGCGGCCTTCTGCGTGTAAAGCAGATGTGATAACCACTACACCACGGAACCAGTTGGCGGGATGCTCTAAATTTAGGTCCACATCGCGTGGCGATCGAACTCTGCTTACTGACCTAGTTTTCACAAACTGAATCTGTGCTCTATTTAAATGTAATAAGACCGATAATAGTGTACTTAGCAAGCGATTTTTTTCTACTTTCACTTGCTATCGCAAAATGAGCATAAATCACACATGAAATAAGTCGTTTTATTGCAAAAACAGTTCATGCTTGCCTTTTCTAAGCAGTTTATCTTGACATCTGCCCTATTTGGTAGCCCTTGCTTATAGAGATCAACTAATATGACGAAGTAATAACTTATAATCATAAAAAGGCATTTCATATTGCGACCTTAGCACATTTTCTCTATTACACTACAGTTATATGAGTTTGGTTAAAATATAACGCCCCATGCTTCATTTTCTTTTTTTTAAGGTTACAATTGGTCGAAAAAATAAAAAACAATAATAAAAAAAGACAAAATTAATTTACTTCTACTAATATTATAAATGCGAAAATAACTCTGTCTGTCCGTCTGTCTGTCTGTCTGTCACGCTTTCACGCCTAAACCACAAGCGATTTTGATGAAATGACATTGGGAACTTTTTGCCCCACTTTTCGAAAAGTAGCGGACACAAACGAAACCTATCACAGATGATACATACTAATATCCAATGAATTTCCGTGCATTTTTTTTTCTCTCTTATATGGGAATATTGAGAAAATGAAGTTTTAATATTTTAGTTTATTTTACATTTAGGTAACATTTTTGACGACCTCCGTGGCGGAGAGGCGCACACACCGGTTTTCAAGGTGTGCCGGGCCAATCCTGAGGTCCCGGGTTCGATTCCCGGCCGGGACAATAATATAGAAAACGATCTTTTCACATTGTTTCTGGTTTGGGTGTGTTGTGGTTCGTCGTTCCCGATTTCCATAACACAAATGCCTTAGCTACTTATTTTGGGTTGGAGTAATATAATGAGATGTTGTCTAATATTAATGTAAGTATTTATAATATTTTATTTATTTATATTATTTTATTTATATTTTTTATTTATTTATATTATTTTATTTACTTTTATTGGTTACTCTGCAATGCCAAACAACATAACATGTAAAAATATCAAATCATTTTAGACAAATATATTTTCAACTTAGACTCGTCATATCTCAGAATTCCCATATCTCACAACATAGCGCTTTAAGTGAATATACCTACAAGTATAAAGCTTTGAAATAAAATACGTTTCATCTTTGTCCGCCGTGGGGCATTTTCTCATATTAAAGTTCCCAATGTCCTTTGGCATACAGATAGTTTGAGTCCCGGAAAAGGACATAGGATAGTTCTTATCCCGGTTTTTGAAACAGGGACGCGCGGGCGGAATGCTAGTTTATCATAAACTGACTTAAAAGCTGGGTGGGTTGCACTATCTGTAACTATAACAAACGTCAAAATTCTGTCAAACTATAACTATAATTAGAGGTTGCAACTCAGTCTAAATCAAGTGAGATGCAGACCAAGAGCTTTCCGTTTGTTTTTGGTAGTAAGAAAAATTCAGTTGAAAAATTAAGTCTGAAAAATTAATACATAAATAGTAATTTAGGTACAATGCGCTCGTACAAGGTAACTCTTTCACGCACAAGGTTAATTACAAAACAGCTGTTTAATTATAAAATAGCTGAAATAGCTTAATTATTTTCCCCTCACATCGTCGCATGTTAACAATTCATTAACGTTGCGTGATTTGGATCAATTAAGCCGACATTGACTTCTGGTATGAACATGTTTTAATTCGGTCTATGCTTGTTACATAATTCATAACCAAACATTGGTTTGTTTGGTCAAATGGTTTGGCGAATCCGTAGATCGCTTCTGTCTACTTCATCCTTCTTTCGTTAACTGTTAAGTTTAATTAAAAGCTTCCTTTCTTTATGGGTTTGTCCCCGGGACAAACTTGACCTTCACTGGTTGGGTTTTTATTGGCGGTCAAGCTGTAGATCCTGGCTACACAGGAGTCGCAGCGGTAGGAACGAGAGGTGGGAATAGTCCCGTTTCTTGTACCTACCTTTATAAATCTCGTTTTTTGATCCCGAGTTAGCTTAACTCAAGTAAGAACCAGTTTATTGATCCGTAGTTAACCTAGGTAATTGTCAGCTGTGTAAATATAAAAAAATGTACCAATACCATTGTTTAAAAAACGCATTTCACTGATATTTAACCACTCATTCAACCCACGCTGGCATTTCCCTGCGTGAGAGAGATATAAACATTCGAAACTTCGGATAATGCTGTTAGAAGTATTTTTTCTGACAGTAAAAAAAATCTAGTGTCGGAAAAGATAATACACGATACAGACATAACACCTCATTAAAGTCACTAATTGGTTTTAAAAGAGCTTCTTTCTAATGTCTTGTTCTTCGAGTAGCGATTATATTATCTATATTAATTAATAGCCAATTAATGGTTCGTAATGTGGTTAGCTCACCTGCTGCTGAAGTAATGTAGTTATTTAGGTGTATTTCTATAGGTTTCTTACTAGAAACTGTCTATTTTGGAAATCTATATTAAAAGCGCAAGGTCACTAACTCACTCATCACGAAATCTCAGAAACAAAGTGCTAACAAATTTTGCATGGGGGTTTCTTTTAGGACGTAAGTGCTCACTAAGACGGGATTTTGCAAAATTCAACCCCTAAGGGGGGTAAAACGGGGTCCACGCGTAAGAAGTCGCGGGCGGCCTCTAGTTTAGCACAAAAATCTACTCAGTATAATATTCAACACTAGCTAGCCCAGCGGAACGAAATGCAAAAAAAATACGCTGTTCCTCGTGGCTTTTGTAGGACTCTTAGGCCCAGAACAGACGGTGAAACGCAACTGCAACTGCTAGTTACTTTTGAGTTGCATCTAAGTTTCTGCCATGGGGTCCGTTGAGAGACCACACATGACGCGACCAGATTCAGTTTCATTCATCAGAATCATCAGAAAGTTGCAGTTTCGTTTCACTGTCTGTTCTGGGCCTTAATGGTGAAAGAATTTTTCAAATTGGTCCTGCAGTTTCGGAGCCTATTAGTCCAGTCAATAAAGCATTATAGATGGAAAACTGTAGAACACAATTTCTGCTTTCAGGACTTTATTTAGACTAGTTAGGAGGTGAACATAGAAAGAAAGAAAGAAAGAAAGAAAAAATGTTAAAACATAGCAAAAGTCCCCGCCCTTAGCCCTTGAGCCGGCGGGGAGAGGGGGGTTTAAAGGTGCCACTTTTCGGTTTTTCGCTTAATCCTCGGAAACTATGCGTCCTAGTGACATGACTACTATGAACCAAAAAAAGCTTATTCAATTTGCTACAGATGAGAAAGACAAGTTATTCTATAAATTGTATAGTTTTCGCGGCATCTGCTCTAGAAGGTCTGTAATATTGGAAATTTTATTTTTGTCTTACATGTTCCCATCAGGAGAAAATCGACTAAATCAACATTGAGCAAACACTATAGACATGCGGGAGCATGTTAAGCCAAGTTCCAGCGAGGGGACTACACCGTGCGTATATTTAGACGAATCACTTTGAGCCACTTTTGAATCCTCATCACTCAAAAACTACTGTGCATTAACACTTCAAATTTGGCTCATGTGTTGAGACTTGCAAGATATACATCAGTTTCAAATTTCATAAATATGCCTCAAACGGTTCTTTAGATATTGACGTCCAAAAATCTACATGTCTGACCTATAGACCAAATTCTAACCACTTCCAGATGACCTCGAAGGTTCAAATTTGGCATCCAGAAAGGTAGTTATGTAAATACAAAGGAACAAATAAAAAACCAGTAAATTTTAACATTTCACATGTGATAGATAGATAGTAGTGCTCTAAATATCGATTTTTGAACGTCAATACCTAAATAACCGTTTGAGGTATATTTATGAAATTTGAAGCTGATGTATATCTTGCAAGTCTCAATACATGAGCCAAATTTGAAGTGTTAATGCACAGTAGTTTTTGAATGATGAGGAGTCAAAAGTGGCTCTAATTGGTTCGTCTAAATATACGCACGGTGCAGTCCCCTCCATGGAACTAGGCTTAACATGCTCCCGTATGTCTATAGTATTTGCTCAATGTTGATTTAGTCGATTTTCTCCTGATAGGAACATGTAAGACAAAAATAAAATTTCCAATTTTACAGACCTTCTAGAGCAGATGCCG